GGCTCTAGTCCGTCATTTCATTTCAAAAAAGGAAAAAGGAGATCTTTAATTTTTTATTGTACCTACGGTGCTGTGCATCAGATATTCTGTACAAATGTTTTAATCTGTAATAGCTTCTGTTTGGAAAGGAAAACTAGTTTCCAGGGCATTGGTTAAACAGACACTTTTGAGCATTTTTGTGTGGATGCAGATGCCTTTCAAAAGCTATAATTATATAGCGTAGTCCAAGTTAGCAGGTGTTCCTTTAGTACAAGACAATAAATTATTAAACCATAGTTGCATGTGAGGGGGAAAGGCTTTGTCACTGTTAAGAAGGTCGTTGTTTCTCAAGCCTCACCCCCAGCATGACAGAAAAGTTATAATATCTTACAGCACAACTACAGAGTCCCTGAAAGCTTGAAGAAGTAAAAGCAGTTTAAATCATGAACTGGCATACAAAGAAAATCAATCTCACTGCTTACTTAATGCACAGGTGCAGGGAAAAGATGCAGGAAGCTGACATTTTTTTTAAAAAGTCACATTTCTCACTGAACCTGCCAAGAGAGGGTGTAGGCCCCCGTATTCTCACCACATGCCCCCAAACTATGCAATTCTCTTCCAAATGGGATGGGGCGGGGGAGAGATCATCCTCACATCCTACTGTGGCCACAGGTAGCCGGCAGGACTTTGAATGAGGCAGTTGCTGCACCATGAATTCTCCATGTCTCTCCGTCACACTGGCACCCTCCACACACATGCAAGGAAAACAGGACTGCATTGCCCAAAGGGCCCAAATACCTATGGCATCTCAGGTTTGGTTGTTCACACGTGGTGAGGGGACCTGAAGGAGGACTAATGCCTGCTACTCTCTTCCTAATGAGGAGGACACAGTATCTGAGCAGATATTGTGATGGCTGGCTTTTGTCACAATCTAGCAACAGATGAAGAAGAACAAGCCAGGATCTGCAGACAGGAAGAGACTTGATGTTCAGTGCCTACCATTAAGGTGTTCAAGAGAAAACAGACTACAAATAAGGAACACTGTTGGAGAACTTGGCTTGCTTTTCCACACTTTAGTAAAATGTCCAGATCCTGGTGACTAATTAGATTTGAAAAATAATGGCTCAGTGTAGATATGAGTATGCTGAGTTGTTTCCAAAGATGAAATAAGTCATTGAGGACTCTTAAGCTATGCACTGGAGTCTTTGCAGAACTTCATATTGGTGACTAAAGGCTTTAATTTCTAGATCTATCCGCTTTGGAAATTCTGTTCTAGAAATGTAACCACACACTAAGTGGTACCATTTCCATACATGCAAGCAGATCAAAGGTTTTAAAATTGCCTTCAGAATCTACCACAAAATTATAACTGTTCAAGAAATGGGATCTGGCTACTAGAATTATTCACTATTTAACGCCATCTGTAAATGTAAAAAGTTTCTCCACGATTATGTCCAGATCTAAATAGGATCTTCAGAAAAACATGTTGCATTTTGATGTGTGAGCGTTTCCTCTGATGGCAACTTTTGCAGTACTTTAACTCAAACAAAACTTAACCGTTTTCTATGGCATAATTAGAAAAACATACAAATGGGGGCGGAAATTAACATAGTGTTCACATACATTAGGCAGAAGTCAGCACTGCTTGGCCCTTATCCTTAAGACAGTGAGAACTCAGCAATTATACTTAGATTTATTTGACTTGCATTGCAAATAAAACTCTACCCATCTCGTCAAAAAGCTCAAAAATAAAAACCTTTCCATTCTGTCTTTTTTCTACATATTTTTGGCAAGTCATATAGGAAGCTGTCTCTTTTCTAGTATAACATATGTGCATTTTTGTAATGTACTACCGTCCAAGCGTGCTCAATTTTTGTTGTGCCAAAATAACATTATGAATTTTGAGAATTAGGACAAATTCATACAACATGCTAAAATGAACAAGAAAAACAGTCGTGAAGTTCAATACAATAGACAACATCCATGTGAATTTCTAGCTCAGAAAAAAATAGTTACATGGCAAAAAGCTGTAAAGCTTTAGGTACTTTAGATAACCAACACTTACCTCATTAGATTACGAAGTATGTATATACTATGAGTCTTTCAGATTGATTAAAATTTTCATCAAAATGCAACGTGTGCACCTTTTATTAATTTTTGGAAAGGAAATCAATTTGAACCTACAAGCCT